CCCCAAAACCCCAAAACCCCAAAACCCCTTAAACGGCCCTCCGATGACGTGATTTCTATATTTATTATTAATAGATTTATCATCAAGCAATATGAGCCACGAGATAGCATTGAAAAGACTTAATATGCTGAAGGGACACTTTAGACCCAGCAAAGATTTGAAGAGAGAGCTGAGCACTTCTACCTTCAACCTCGCCAAAGCTCAGGAGAGCCTTTGGAATACTCTTCCTGCTAATTACTTTGAAACATTTGAATGCATCTCTGAGCTTCATGGAATCCCAGACCCCTCTCTTTACAATGCAGAAAAGGATGAGTTAAGAAAAGATTCTAATGAGTTCATTATTAGATTGACCAACAAAATGTTTGAGAAAGGGTTCACAACTCCTGAAAAAATTGCTGAAAATATTGACGCCTTTAACTCGGGAATGATTTCTCTCGGATCTTTCAACTTTGCTACCTGTACTAGATATTTGGTTCAATATGGTCTCTATTGCAAAACTATCAAAAATTTAGGAACTGAAAGACATCATCAAGAGCTTATTGATGGATGCTCGCTTAAAACTCTTGGATGCTTCGGACTAACCGAGATGGGGCATGGCTCAAATGTTAGAGGAATTGAAATCACTGCGACTTATGATAAGACCACCAAAGAGTTCATTTTAAATTCTCCCACAAAGACTGCTATTAAATTCTGGATTGGAGCTCTTGCTAAAAGTGCTCATAATGCAGTTATCTTTGCTCAGTTATACATTAATGAGAACGGACAGAAAGTAAGGAAGGGAGTTCATGCCTTTGTTCTTCCTATCAGAGACAGAATGACTCATACTTCATTCCCAGGTGTTGAAATAGGCGATTGTGGATATAAGAAAGGATTAAATGGAATCGACAATGGATGGATTAAGTTTGAAGATTACAGAATCCCAAGAGAATCACTACTCAACAGATTTGCTGATGTTACTGAAGATGGAGTTTATCAAACAGCAATTGAAAGTGAAGGAAAAAGATTTGGAAACTCAATGTCAAGCTTGTCAGGTGGAAGAGTTTTTATCTCAAGAATGTCGTCAGAGATTAGTCTTCAGTCTCTGAGTATTGCTATTAGATACGCAGCTGTGAGAAGACAATTCGGTCCCTCAGATGAAGAAACTCTTCTTCTTGATTACCCATTGCACCAATATAGATTGTTCACTCGCTTTGCCGAACACTTCGTACACTACCTTGGAGCTAACAGATTAGTCAAGATGTGGGATAAGAATCTTCCTAAGCTTTTAGATGAAGGAAATGAACAAACCGAGGTAATTCATGCCTTGTCTTCAAGCATGAAAGCATTTGTATCCTGGTCATCCCAAAGCACTATTGATGAATGTAGAAAGGCTTGTGGAGGACATGGATATTCTTTCTATTCCCTCTTTGCTAATATTTTGAATTTTAATGACTTGCATGCTACTTGGGAAGGAGATAGCCATGTCTTAACAATGCAAAACCAGAAATTTATTTTGAATGGAATCAGAAAAGCATTAAAAGGAAAGAAGGTTCCAGAAACTTTGGAATATCTTTCACTTGCCCAAACAACTCCTCCAGCTTTCAAAGGGGATTTTGAAAATATTGATGAACTAGCTAAATTATTTGCACAAAGAGCATCATTTTTAGCAAACAAAGCTGCTAAAGCTCTTAATGAATATGAAGGAGGATTTGAACAGGGATTCCTTGATCTCCAATCCTTTGAATTGAAAGATATGTCCTCTGCTTATCATGACAACTACTGTATTGAAACCTTCAGAGCCTTCTTAACTACTGTTGATGATGAATCAGTCAGATTCATCTTTGAGAAGCTTCTTCTATTAAATTTCTATACTAAGATGCACAATGATGGAAACTTCTTTGTAGCTGCTCTTGGATTATCTCAATTCGAGAAGCTTAAGAAGCACATCAATAAATCATTGAAGCATTTGCGCAAGAACATCATTCTTTTGACTCAAGTCCTTCCATTCCCAGAAAGATCCATGGGAGCTTTAGGACATGGAGACTTGCAGGTTTATGATAGATACTTGCAACATATCAAAGCATGTAAAGGAGTCACTGAAAGAGCTTCATGGTGGAAGCTTGCCTACACAAATAGCGAGCAAAAGAATTAATCAAAGATTGAAGTCCATTTCTATTTTTGAAATTCTTTTATACGGAATCAAATTCTAGTATCAAGAACAATTCAATCAGCTACTTTTTAAAGGGGTTTTGGGGTTTTGGGGTTTTGGGGTTTTGGGGTTTTGGGG